ACATAAAGGACGTGCTTTTCTTGGCAACAAACAAGTGTCTGATAGAGATCGAGAGCCAGCTGCACAAAGGATGGCAATTCTTGTTCATGAAAATTGCCGCTGTTGAGGCAGTGCAGGGGTTGGATCAAGGGGATCCAGTCATCTTTCCAAACATCTTGATGCTTGGCCATAAGTGCAAGACCTGCTTCTCCAAGTTTCTGCCATGTCTTCTTCATGTTGCCTTCACCAACGAGGCCATAGAGCTTCCGCAGCGCTTGCTCGGCTTGAGAGTATGGTGTCGTCACCTTCACTGCAATACCACCCACAAGAGATTCGTTCACAGGGATGGTGACCGGCACGCCCCCGGCATGACACTTCCAAAGGCTCAATGCATAAGACTTTCCAGAGCCTCAGTTGACAATTGCATGTCGAAATATCCAACTCCTTTCCAAAACAATAGTTTTGGTCTGTTGTGGTGATCCAGTTAACGTACACAACTTTCATGTTCCTTGTGCCTCATGAAATTTGATGCAAGTTTGGGTTGAGAAGTTAAGACTTGCACTGCCGCCAATAGAGATTTGCTAGGAGGCGACAAGTTACGACTGTGCAACAAATGTGTCTCATTCTCATTCAATTTCCAAATCTAAGGCCTGGGAACAACGAAAGAAACACGAGCAACTTACGCCCTTTTTCGACAAGGCGACTCTTCTGCTCCCAGCGAAAGCGCTTGGCATCGCACTTTTGCCATCCAAGTGCTGGGAAGCCTCCATCTCGATGCGCCTCAACATCTTTCTAATGGCGATGGCCTCCAATCTAGTAGCTTCTTGTTACTAATAGCGATGTCCTCCAACCTACCGTCTCGATGCGCCTGGACCGATCCGTGGCGAGCCGTGGCGAAGAGACATTTGATATGATCCGTGATGGTTTCAGAGGTTCGATGGCACGTTTACCCCCAAGATGTCCTTTCTTGGTCCATTTTTCAACCACCCGACTTGGGGTTCCTTACGCCATCTACTCTGAAACCACCATAACTATATATATATAATAATGATGACAAACATGGGACTGGATGGAACATACAATGTCCCCACATACTGGCAGAATCAAGACATTGGGAACCATGGTCAACCTTGGACTCACAACGAATGAAGCTTTCAGCTCTCTTCTGCGTGACATAACTGTGACACAATTATCATAACAATGTATGTTTTGAATGATCTGTCACATCAGGAACGCAAATATATATATATATATACATATGTACATACCATACTTTAAATATATATGTAATATTCATCAGAATCAGAAGATTTCAAATATTGTGACAGTGCTACAAGAATCATACACCAGTTCTTCATGGCAAACACGTCTTCAGTGCTTCGGCGCCTCGCTGAAGATGTAGATCGCCGCCCCAGCGGGCACCTGGCGAGACGTCGGCTCTGCGGGTTGACCACCTCGGATCCCATCATCCCTGGTAGGTTGACCTCCCCAGCTATTTGTTGCATGTTCGGTGGGAAAGACCAGGGTGTCCCGGTTTTGACCCACAAAGATCTAAAGAAAGAACGCCTATGTGGACCACTGTAGACGAAGATTCCATCTCTTCATCTTCCAAGATCAAAAATCAACCGAAAGGAACACATTCTGTTTGGTGGAAGCTGGCTCTGTGTACTATGATGACCTCACCACACTCTGTGTGATGCAGCTAGCACAAGCAGCCATCTTGAGTGACCTCCAGAAGAAGAGCTTTCCAACCCCACCACTTAATCCACAATACCAATGTTCAATATGGTTAAATTGGCAAGGTGTTCAAGATGTGCAGCACTGCAGCAACAAAGTCTAAGTGCAATATCTGTGGTGGATTGTTCCCAAAATGTGTACGTCTCCACATTAGCTCAAGAACTCTAAGTGTTTGTGTCGCGATCAGGCAACCAATATCTCGTGATTGTGTAGCGCGGGACAACACCGTCCGCGAAACATCCGCCATGGGCCACTCAACACCACGGGTCGCCACAACCACTCCCACTTCCAACACCTCCACCCGAAAGGATGTGTTGGTCGGCACGATGTGCTCCGATCGGATCAAAGTGGAGGCCATCAGGTCTTCCGGGATGTTCCTGAGACACACTGAACGCAGAATGCTGGTCATGAAGATCAAATCATGTCACATTTGCACTTGACACAAATCGTAAGCCTATAATGCTTGATTAATTACAATTGAAAGACACCGTGTCCATTCGATTTCGATTCCGATGATTTTCACCTTTCAGCGGGCGTCTTGTACACATACTCTCGGTCGGACCATGCCTGCGGGTGTGTTAACAAGATGGACCAAACAGGTGAAAGATACACTTTCACAAAGCCGGCCTGAACCCCTTCCGTGAAGGCAACGTATTCCAAGCCCAACTTCGAGTGCACGACCTTGACCTCGTGGATGCAGCGAAACCACTGTTACAACATGATAGATTGAAACCAGTGGCACCGTGGCACCCACCTAATTTAGTCAATTGTGGATTGAGCTATGCAGCCAACTACAAGCTGTCCGAACTCTGCTGCTAGGTTAGAACATGTGCTGTACGGCTGTACTTCAGATTCAATTGCGAAAAGTGGTACAGCTGAACATGTACACATTCATTCCTGGTCCCTTGTGCGCTTGAGTGAAACTTTTGAGACATGCTAGCAGCTAGATGAACATGTGCGCAGATTGGATTTCGTCCTGATGCATACACAGAAACAAGCGGGGTGTAGGCATGGACCACGGCTTGTGCTTGCGTCACAGTCTCACTGGGATTCACTGGGAAGGTAGCAGGCCCCTCCAGACAGTCTGCGAATTGCCATTCCTGGTGACCTGGTTCTCCTGTGTTGAATCTGAATTGGAGCGGCTTTGACTCTAACTAAACGCCTAACCAACTCATCGCTGGCGCAGGCTTGCCGTCATGAGAGACCACGGCTCGCACGATGCCGCATTGCACATTGCTAGATTGAAGACATGACCATTGAACACAAGTGATTAGAATCAACGCAGGAAGGTACCTTGTTGGCAGCAAGCACATGCAAGCACGAAAGGCCTTCATTAGACCACCAAACACACCAATTCCGAGGAAAGAAGAAACCTTTGAAACCTAAAAGCCGCCCAAGTTTGGTGAGTAGGAAGTTGTGAGAGTGTTTGTGGGACAGGACACGGACTTGAGGCAACTTCAAAACTAAGCAGGCACCGGAAACCGCATACAGCCCTGTGCAAATACAACTGCAACCCCGGGCACCGGCAACGGAGCCGTGGACCGGGTGACTGGGGCAAGCTGTGGGGGAGTTGCTGGAGGCTATGCTGGAGGACCAAATGGCGGGGGTGCAGGGGCTAGGAGTCGAATGGTGCAGGGACTCTTAGACACCCTCCTTGACCTGTTGGTTGGGGTGCTAGGGGATGAGCTCGTGTTGGGGGGTCAGTCAAACTATGCAAACCCGTGATTTGTTCAATCTGTGCATACTTCTGGTACGCCTCTGCAGCAAAAACGTTTCGTCCTTCTTGCTGTCATGACTCATCCTCTGAAGGACCGTTGCTTTGTTGGGGACTTGGTTGTGGCTCCTGCCGCAGTCAAGCCAGCTGCAAATCAAAGCATCCTTCTGACTACGACATCGCACCTCTCGCATTCACTTGTACAGTAGGTCTTTAACCCCTGCAGGCGGAGTCATGCAGTAAATCTACAAATGGAATCTACCTTCCTGACGGCGTTTGCTCTGCACGTCTTCTAAGGCATGACACATCATAAACAATGGAGGCCACTGACCCAAAGGACACGAACGTTTTTGACACCAAGCAATGTCAATGACTCCGGCGTAAACCCGCAAGCACTACGGCGCTTGAAGGGTGCCTCGACGACGTGGAGGTACAAAAGACCATTCCTGCATTGGTCCAACGCATCGGCCAAGCTTCCTTTGGTCAGCGTGCATGCGTCTCCCTCATCCTGACAGGTGAAGAAGAGGTCTAGTGGAGGCCGTCTAGGAGACAGACACAGGGTCTAGGGGTCTGGAAGGGCAAAGACATCAGTCGGTCAGGAACAGCGCCCAGAACCTGGGCAGTGAAACCGAAGAATCTGCAGCTAGGAGACATCGATGTACGTAATTCGCTTCAGCACCTGGCATGTGGGGCTTGGAAGCTGGGATGAACCGAACGTGAACCTCAAGACATGTCAACATCTCAAGACATGTTGAACGACGGGGCACCTTGCCACACAGGGCCTGTTCTACGCGCTGACAAATCACATGGAAGGCCAGCTCTGGCATTGCTCGCATTTCGTCGCTCTGCATGCCTCATTGCGAGTCGTGACAATCCACCCTCCAAAGGAACATCGACCGACGCAATCTCATGAGATTGATTTTATTGGAACCCCCAAGATGTGCGAAGCCATGGATTTCAATATGATTGTAAATCACGGAATGATGAACAAAACTTAGTGCAATTGACCACCTGCCAAGTGAATTTTCATTTTTGAATATTTTTGACATGCTTTCCTTCCGATCAATACACACGAACTGGAACATGAAGCTTTGGCAAGCTCGGCTGCTCGCTGCAGCCGGGCCCGGACTTCTCGGCTTTCTGACGTTCATCGAGTCTTTGCAAACAAAGCTGCACACTCCATCTTTGACTTGGTTGTCCACGCAGATCTGAATTTCGACTGCATCCACTGCGTCCATTGCAACGACGCTGCGTCCACTGCTTGGTCTAAAACCGATATGTACAGCGGCGAAAGCGTTTCAGAGCCAGACCCTGGCTGCGAGATGCCAGAGAAAAGCTGAGACCACAGGACAATAATAGGTAGATTCGTGAGTCTGAGACCATCTAAGACAACAGCGGTAAGTGATAGCGACAGTGCGGCAAACGAATCAAAAGAATCTGTGAGGTCTCCCACAGTCTATCTGCATCGTGAAAGACGTCAAAAAGAATGTGAAGACTGGAAGAACACAATCCACCTTTGACCAGAACCATGCTCAGAACTCCAAAAAAGCCCATGGGATTCCCACCCTTCCTCGCAAGTGTCATAGCACATCGCCACTGAGGTAAATCAGGACCATCCTGTGCTTTCTTCACAAGCCCTTTTTGTATTTTGTCTTCAGCCCAAAACATGCCCAGCTCATGCTGAGCATGGCACACCCGAAGATCTACTAATCTGTTCTTCCTGCGAGAAAACACAGCAAAAGTGAACACAACTCCTGAGAATATTTACATTTGTTGGTGCAGTGCTCCTCTAACGCGCTCAAAATGACGCTGGAGATGAACCATTTTCCGGCACCTTGCCATAATAATAAGCCACTGTGATGCAGTTGGGCCAAGCCAAACATGCAAAGGCGGGTGCAACTCAAGTGACTTGCCCGCAGTGCTCAAGGCCCTTGCGCTGGTTGAAGTGCAGAACTTTCCTTTGAGGTGGACCACATCTTTTTGGTTTCTTCAGAAATGCATCAAACAAACAATCCGTTTGGTCCCAAATTCTTCGCATTCAACTTGCAATTTTGAAAAGAACTCCTGGAGACTTTACAGAATATCGGGCACCCTGCCTCTCTTCCTCTCCTCGAGCACCGAAGCCATCTTTGACGAAAATGGGTCGGCTGCCCATCCGGACGCCTTGCCAACGCCAAAGCTCTTCTGTGTGGCAAATTCTGACAACGGAGCCGCTGGAAGAAGGCTCTTCCAGCTTGGTTGGCCACACACTGGAGAGGCGATTTTATCTTTGGAACCCCTCCGGTATGGTTTCCTCTGCAAAAAGGAACATCACACCTCAGCTATGTACGATGCATCCACACACTGAGGCGTTGATGAAGTGGATTCATTATGAGGAACCACCCAGGCCTTGCAAATGCTGATAGTTTCCATTGAGCTGGCCATGGTCCCCTCTGCAGCCAGTCACATGGACAGCCTGGGCTTCCATGAGCCGTCACACTGGCTTGGAAGGAATCCCTCATCTGCCCTTACAAACATGGATTTGAGATGATTTGAGACATATAAACGTATTAGCCGGATTGGATCAACCGCACATCCTGGTACGATACAAAACCATGTGTGTCTTCAGCCCTCACCGAAAAAGAAAAAAACACACACAAAACAAAAAGCTTGGCATGTGCCCCGCCTCTGGAACCCTGATGGAGATGTCATGTCTGAAGCAAACAATGCTGGGATCTTTGGTCGCCTTGGCAGAGGAGGCAACTTCACAAGGATTTCCCCAAGCCTCGATGTGCCCTGGTGACCCTGGTGGAGAAAGATGGAAACTGCCGTTACCTTTCGCTAGAAGAAACGCGTCTTCTCCAAGCCCTCTAAGAGAGTTGCCACACCTTCACCCACCTTCGCGCCTTCCCAAATGCGAAGACCGTCCATGGCATTGGACCTTGATCTCTGAGAGTTTAGCACTTCTGAAAGAACACATTATTGCCACAGCACATGGATACAAATAGCTTTGATATGCTTTGATACACATACAACATGACCTATACAGTCTATCCTTCTCGCTTACAGTAAGTAGAACATCCCAATAAATGCAATTGTTTCTGTCGGCCCCAAACACACGTCCGGTGAGGGTGACAGAAAGTCCGGGCCACTCCGAGCCAGAACCTGGCGACGGCATCGACGCTTCAAAGAGGTGGAAGACGTACCATTGCGGAGTTGTTGGCATGTTGTTGGGTTGTTGATGCTCCACAAACTAAGAAACATAAATTGGCGACTAAACCAATCCCAACACTTCGGCGGGGGAGACATGGACACCGGCAGCAAGCACCTCGACAAGGGGTGGCGCGCTGAAAACACGCAGGGATCAGGTCCGGAACCGCTAAGTGCTGGGCAGAGCCGGCGATGTTCCAGTAGCCCATCTCGCCGAAGAACAGGTACAGTGGGCGTTCATCACCATCATGCTGGCGTTCACTGAACTTGCAAACACACAAAGGGGTTTGACTGGTTTTACATGGTGTTTTTGAATTGCACCCTGCATATGAGACCATTAAGGATGCATTCAAAGACTCTGCCGTTCTCTTTCAGGTTGCCACCTTTACACCCATTTGCCTCTGCCAAGCCGTTGCTGTTGGTGGTCAGAAGGGGTTTGCCTCTTCCTTACAGGACGAGGTTCCTCTGAGCTCCACAAGCCAACTGATCCAATTTACCCTCCGACTCACTCACATCGAAAAGAGGAGCACGCCTTTTGGATGAGTAGTTTCCTCTTCGAACAGTAACAAGAAGCTACTAGTAGCAAAGGGCATTTCTACTAGGAGCGATCGGACGCTATGAACGGGGCGCCCCTGGCCTTACTATATACTAGGAACAAGGACGCTACTAGTAACAAGAAGCTTAGAAACCAATAGAAACCACAGATGTAGGCTGCCCAACGGAGCCAGCAAGGCCGACCATGGGGCCGAACTCCCTGAGCCCACGTCGAGAGAGACTCTGCACCAAAATGCATCAGACTCAAACAACTTAGATCGGAAGAAACACAAACGATTCAACTCATGAAATGATGAGAATACCGGTGAGATGGATTGACTTCCATATATTTCCATGGTCGTGGATACTATGACATCATATTATGATTTCTGTCGTGCACAATCTGATCAATGCCTCCACAAGCTCGTAGTCGCCATTGATCTGTTGTCCTGGGCCTTCTCTACCACCGAGGGAAAGAAGCCTGTTTGCATGAACCCCGTGTGCGCGGCACATGGCACATGGCACATGACATGATATCTGCTGATGGGTCTGAGATGTGTGAAAAGTCAAGCAGTTTGGCAACTGAACGAATATAACAATACAACAATGACTTAGAAAATCCAGAACCAGGGATCAGGCAGTAGCTAAGCTTCTAGCTAAGCTTTGAGTAGCTTCTTCGTGAACATGAAGAGCAGGCATACAAACAAACGGGATCACTATACTAGTCAACATGTATAGTGTACACCAATATTAAGACATACCAGTCTTAACCATGTGAAATCACTTTGAACCAATGGCAAGGAATTAACACATGCTGATATGTGATATTGTTTTGTGACTGAATGATTGTACACGGGCATGCAAACAAAATCACAACCTGTTACAACATGTTCCAACGTGTGCGCAATCATACTCATGCATGTAGAGTTGTGTTACTGTGTCACAACCTGCCAGTCTCTATCGTTCGCGTTAAACGCACATCACGACATGTCACAACCCATTTGTAGTTCGGCCATTACAGCAATCACCAGGAACACGATGCAAGCAATCTGTCACAAGTTCAGTCTGTGTCAACAAGCCCCTGCCTTGGGCACGGCTCCTCAACTTCCTTCAGAGATTGCCTCAGCCTTGGCCATTCCCCTTTCCACCACACGAAGATTTGACTCTCCAAAAACCTGCTTGTCCCGTTTTCGTTTCGCCGGGCCTCCAGGATTTGGACCTGAGCATTTTGCTTTAGAGGTGACGAAGAAGCCCAGCTTCGTTCTGCGGGAGAAAGCAGTCTCGCGTCGACCTCACCTGGGGTGGAGATTCTCTCCAAGGTTGATGTTCCTCAGCATTCCACAGAGTCCGGGCTTGTCTAGTGAAGACCTCTGGAAGCCAAATCATCCCGGTCCAGAAGTTCAGTGTTGTCTCACCAAAAGCCTGAATCTCAGTGATAATGTTCTGACATCAAACAGCACATCATAGAACTCTATAGTAGCCGCAAGTATAACATAGTACAAAATGGTTCCTAGAAGTTTGGGACTAACCCCAACCACCATTTCCGCAGGACTGAGATTGCCAACTCCATGTCATAGCACTCGCTCACAGCGGCATGTTGGGACGAGGATTGTCTTGAAGGCATGTGGTTTTGGCATTTTCAGTGTAGGAACCCGCTCGACCTGGCGCACTCTTTCTGTTTGGCACACGACTTCTGGCACGCAGGGCAAACGCCTGCCCTGTGGTGATAGATGTGATGTGCGTCGCCATCTGTTGTTTTTCGTCGCTGAAGCAGAGTTTATGTTTTCCCTTGCCCTTCACTTTTTCGCTGCAAAAATGGCTCCTCTGGATGATGGATCATGACCGCCGCGAGGTCTTCTGCCAGTGAACACCCGGAGCTGCATGGTGTTTAGTATCTGTGTTGAGCCTGGACCCCCCGGACAGCAAAGCCTTTTTGACTGGACTGCGTTTCTGGTGCAAACAGCCTGCACCATGTGAAGGCATGAACCAGCAAGCTTGTGAAACTTTCGATCAAACTGAACCCGCACCTTGAAAGTTTCATCTACACAGCCACATGCCAAGGTCATGACATTCATGTCATCTCGGGCGAATTACAGGAAGCAAACTCAGCTGCTGTGAGGCTACTCCCTGATCTATTTTCTGTCTTTTGACACGTCCGGAGTTGGATGTAGAGTTGACACATCTGGAGTTGGAATGCAGAATGACTCTGCCAATAGGCTGTCACGTGCTGATAGGACCACCCAACATCTGAATCAGGAAAATGACACGACGCACTTGTCGTCATGTCTCAGCACCTCAGCCATCAAGATGGAACAACATCGACGAACAAATATGAGCAAATCAACGAAAAAAAGACCTCAGCCCAAAGCTTGCAGCTACTCTTCCCTTTCTTGTCTTTCTTCAACTGCATGCCAGCATTGGGCTGGACCTTGGCCATTCTAACCGACGAAGAAACACGTGCGAACGTGTGTCAGCAGAGCAAGTGGAGTTGAAAGCGACTGGGCTGCAAGGCATCTGAATATCTTTGTTTCACGACATCATCGGCAATGGACAGAAATGCCTCGAGTTTTGCTCAAAAAATCCTCTCGGGCAACAAGACAGCAACAGGAACGCTTCTTAGGTAGGAATGCAGAAATTCTGAGGTGGGAAGCAAAGCTTGCCGCAGGCGCATTCGACCGCACATGAAGTAACAAAACGAACTGGTGACTAGTGTTGTTTAAGTTATTATAGCACTCTGAGAGTGAACAAGACTTGTCTTTCGGCAGTTCAACCTAAATGGTTGTCCAGATCGAACAAATTAATTGAACATCAGTATGTCAGGCCTCGTCGACATCCTGTCCACTCTTGGCTGAGGTCTGCGCAGGCGACACTTGAGACCACTCTAGGGTTGCTGGGTAGCTGCATAATCTCAATGTGTATGTCTCCATGGTGCCGATACCCTTCGGAAGAGTATAAATAGTTACAGTAGCATCTTTCTGATGGGCACTGAGCTTGCAGGAACTTGGGCCTCAAAGAACTTCATGTTGTACTGCGCGGCCAACTGCTGCCCTTCCTCTTTTGAAACCTTAGCCATCGCGCCGCGGCTGTGCTGATCTCAAGTTGACTTCTCTACTTGGGCTTTGGACCTTCCGGTTTTCTTCCAAGTCGGCCTTGTTCCCCACCAACACCCTGGCGCGAAGCTGAGCTAAGCTCACCTGCTGGTCACTTGTTGAGAGACAAACATTTGTTGTCATTTCTGAGTGATCATCCAACTCTACTGTTCCCCAAAAAAGGACGTGGACGTAAACGGAGGATTCCAACGAACCAGCCGATGTCTCACCCCTCACCTCTGCACACCCTCGTCGCCGTGCTGCTCCAGCTGTTGTAGCCAATAATCGATGTGTTCAAAGGATGCCTGGGTGGAAGAGCTGTGAATGACATGTTTTTTTCAACGAACTAAACCGATCGGAGAAACCGATCGGAGAATTCATCGTTGGAGAGTTCATCCCCACATCGTCCTTCCGGCCTTGTCAGTGATGTCGTAGCAAATCACCACTCCCATGGCCTGAGAGGCTCCAGCGAATCACCGCCGCTTTGACCATCTGGTCTCAGCTCAAGGGTCTCAGGTTCGAGTACCCACAAACAAGCCAGCGCTGCGGCTCTGTAGTAGGCTGGAGTAATGGTGCCTCGTTCTTTCTGTGCGCTGACACTTTGAATAACTCGCTAAAAAATGCTTCTCGACGTGCTGACTTTGGAATGCCTTCCTGTCACCACTTCTAACACGAACTTCAGACTCTAAATTACATATACTTATATACCTTACCTGCAGAGATTGAACATGCAAGGGAGTCGAAAGAATTATAAGCCCTGGACGGAATCGCTCCTGTCCAGCAGTGTCCCAAACCTATCAAAAGCTGACCGTTCGAAACACCATTTCATGTCGATAAGTAATGCTTGAGGATGGCCCTGAGGCCCAGGACCTGAATTTTGAGCTTTCGCTGCTGCCGTTCCACCTGCTTCCACTTGAAGTCGACACCTGACAGGTCTATTTGGAGCCAAAATGAGCCACGCCAATCTTCTCTTCCATCGACCGACCCCTCTTGGTCCAAACCTATTGTAAGCACAAAGTTCGCGTCAAACTTGCTTTCACAGAAGCGCATCAGCAAAGATGACCTGCCAGAGATGAATAAACAAACGATGAATATCGATGAATGCTGTCAGAGATCTTGCTGATAAAGGCCACTGGTTGACTCATTCACTCGACCACATTTCTGGAGGATCGCTTCGGCTCGCTTCGGCCTTCACCGATCTCACTGAGTCTGGCACTTGCCAACAGCAGAGTCACCAAGCAGTAGCAACTTGACAAGGTGGTCCTGCCACAGTCGAACGACATCGCTTGAGGACCAAACGGTCGAAAGAGGTGCTGCTTCTTCCAGGTCGAGTCCGAAGAAGTTTCAAGGCTACTTCTTCCACACTTTCGAACGGCCACGTGCTCTTGTGTTTTGTCAAAAGGACTGAATGTCCCCTCATCTACCCTGAAGAAGCATATTTCGGGACCGGAAATAAACACATCCCGCGTCGGTCGTTGGCTTCGCTTGTCTTGCTGATCTTCAAGTTACATCCAACAAAGTCCGACGACGCAAAATGGTTTAGTCAATGTCTGTGATGCGACACATGTACTGTATCACACTGTATCACAGTGTTGTTTCTTGACATCGTAGGAAAAACTATTCCAAGATTGTGAAGATTTGTGAAGTGCAGTGTAGCGTGTAGATGTGTACATGGTGTCAAGTCCGCCTGCAACACTGTTGCATGTGTATGTATACAGTATATTATACCAAAAAACTGTACGTATATGATGACTGAAGGCATTATTTTAAATTGTGTTTACTAACAAAGTTGCTCGATCGCTCCCCACTGCGAGCTGCTCTGTCACAGTATGCAGTAGCTAACGACTCCACGGCTTGGGTTCCACACATAATCATTGGTTGTAGCCATTCTTGAACAGCCTCCGGGGGAGTGGAGCGAGTACTCCTCTCAAAAAGAAACCAATGGACCACTGGACTGTGAGGTGGAGACCTTTGGAGCGAAAGCAAACCAGCGAAAGTGAGCCAGTTTCACATCAAAATACATCAAACATCCTGGAAGGTCTTCTTGTCGGGGAAGCTGTGAGAAGGCGGGGAAACAGGGGGCAAAGTCCAGAGGGGAAAGCGGCCGCCTGGGCCGTAAGGAGAGGTGCGAAGCCCTCGGTCGCACGGGTGCGAACAAGAGTCGGTCTATAGGCGTTTAGACCTTTTTTGAAGCTTGACCTGGACACCTTGGGCGTGCACAAAACTCAGAATGATATATGCACCGCGCGACCATAATTGCTTACACTTATTCAATATCACTCATGTTTCATCATATTTCTGCATCCATGGTTTTCAACATGGAACGCATCCAGGTACGCGGCCAAATCTGCAAAGGCCCCACAAACTAGCCCTCCCAGGCAATCTGTCCCACACTCTGGCAGCAAACAGATTGAGCCAGAATACCAAATGCAAACACATTAAATCAAAATACAGCGGCTCACAAGCATCTGGAAAACACTTTCAGGACATTTCAGGACTATATATATATATGTAAATGTAAGCAATCCTTCAGCTTTTTGCCACCATCACGGCTGTCTCTGGAACTCCTGACAGCTGCAAACGCAAATGTTACTGTAAATGAACTATGAATGGTCTTCCGTGCACCCAAAATTGGTCGGATTAGCCTTGTGGAGCTTTTCCATTTCAGGAAGGAGGTACCTGGAAAAGGAGACCATACACGGCATAGCCGTGTATCTAAACATGGCACGTGAGGTATTGAAGTGCAGTGTTCAAGAATCTAGACAAAGGCCTCCTTGCGCCACAGGTTTCAAGGTGCTGCTAGAATATCTTGGGGCACTTGAAGGTTCCAAGGACATCTTTCTTCCCTGCACTTCAGCTGGAGATCATTGATCCCAGTATGTTGCATGGCAAAGACACTGTGGATGGTGTATGAAACCTTCGAATCCAAGCATCGGAGGCCGGTGCGTCAATGTTTGGAGTCTTGAAGGTTCTTAGCACTCGCCTCGAAGTTGGTTGATCCACTGAAAATCTGTGAGGTCAGCTCCGCAAGCTACACCTACGAGAACATCCGCAATAAAAACCCCAACACTGGTGTGCAAAAAGTTCTGATTCAACTGCCTGCATCTGTTTGTCGACCTGTAAGGACATTTTTACAGTTTTTTATAAACAAAAACATGCCTTTCAAGCGAGCCATGGCCAGTGCCAGCCTTGGACCAGTCGGAACTCAACATGTCGTTCAGTTTGGCAACACAGTGTGTCTGAAGCCCAAGACCTTGTGACACGGTCAAGGTGAAAATTGCTCGAGGACGCCTCGCACGTGCGTCATCCAACCAAGCGGGCCAATGCAAACAACCAAAGAACAGTTCAGCCAAATGCATGCCCTCAAGCCTCTGAACAAAGATGAAAAAAAGCAGCAGGGTGGTGCAAGATGCATTCCAATTGCACAAAAAAACACAAAACACATGGACTGTGCTTGTCTGCCTGCAGCAATTGCTCGAAGTAGGGTATGAAGTCCTGCACCTGCCCAGTGAGAAGCAGGGTGTGCCACGTTTCTCCAAAGGACATGATCACACACACTCCAACTCAGCAACATGGAAGTGGACAATGGGTTGTCCAATGTTGTCCATTTCGATTTTCTTTGTCAAAGGTGTTAAAGGGTCGATAGGCTTCGAATGGGTTGTGCGAATCGAAGGTGTGTACACGACAGTCGTTTCAGAGCTTCGAGAAGGCACGTTTCCGTCCTCGACAGATGGGGGTCCATATTATCCACCGAGATTGGGGTCTGTGCCATCTTCTCTGAATCCAAAAACATCGATGAAAGCAACTGACTGGTGCTTAGTAGGGAACAACGGAATAAGGGAATGAGCCCTCAATAGAGATTCCATTGGATCCATTCCCTCATTCCTTACTAAGCACCAGTCAGGCACTTTGTTTTATGAATAACACATGCCCATAGTCCTGGTTCTTCTCAGTGACGGAACGTGTTCTTTTGTTGATCAGAGTCAAATGTTCTCTCGCCTTGGAATTCACCAGTGCCACGATGGTCTCCACTTCATATATCTGGCTCTTGTCCTTCGGCCAAGTCATTGATCTATGCTGAACAGAACCAAACGGTATCAGTTTAATCTAAACGGGATATGAATGGGAGCCATCTCGTCAAAATCAAACGTTCCCCCAGTCAGGCCATGCTCGCTGTTGAGCAACCATGGAGTCTTGGGATTCGCATACGTATGCCCATCCCTACCTCAATGCAACGGTCCTATGCCCTTCCCTACCGTATGCCCATTCAGATTCTCCGGCAGTGCAGGTCTCCTGCAGGGTTGGCAAACTTAGCTTCATCGGGGCTGCAACCAGCTGAGTGACGTGCGCCACCTGTGGTGGCTAAACATTTGCGCCAACGAACCAGAACACACGTGGGGAAGCGCCAACGTTTTTGGTTCACAAAAAAGCCGCTGCACTCCGCTGGTCGCAAATACAAAAACCGTGGGGTCGTCGACAATTTCTGACCACTTCACCACTGAAATCCGGCGTCGACGTCGTTCGGTAGGGACTCTGAAGCGAGACGAGGAATGCTCGTCAACCTGTGTCAACCCAAGGTCTGGCTTGTAAAGGCCGTTGCGGAATGGTGAGGAAGGATTGTTACTAGGATTGTTGCTTTTCAAAACAAACAACCTGGGCACCAAATAACTTTTTCGATCTATTCCTTAACCATCCTTTTTCGCTCTCTACCATGAGTCTTTGCACGTCATGAGGCTACCAGGAATGTTTGCAAGGGCAATATCCTGAATCCTAGGATGGAAGCATTTCCAACATCATCTACATGCATACTTCTGCATGGCAAGAACATGGGTCTATCAGTCTATCTTTTTGGGCTACAGTAAAGAGGAAACGCTGCCAAGTGACTTGTGCTTGCCAGGCTTCAGGAGGCACCGCACTTTGCTTTTGCGTGTTTTGTACAGCCTGTAGGGGGATTGGGTGCAGTGTGATGCCTGCTTCGATGCTGACATTTGTCCGGAATGATCGCGCCTCGCGAATGTAATCAAACACCCAGGAATGCTGCTTCATTGCCCACCTTACATCTTCAAATCGCCATGTAATCGCCGCTTTTGGAGCGTCGCCATAATGGGCGCAACTCTTTGGGGAATCCACGATTTAGTCCACTGACCAATGGCCAAACTGATGGCTCATCACTGCATACTTATTGACACTGTATGTAACTTGTGAAAGTAAGTTCTGAGCGATTGGAGCTTCTCCAGCTTCTGTCCAGCTCGCGAGCGACACTTCTGGTACACCTGTCCAGGTGATTCATGGGAAACATACTTTTTTTCTGTGATTCATGGGTAGCTTCAAGCACATTTCCCAACTGTTGGTGCAAAAAATGTCTTGGCCCCCCCTCGCCTCTGCAAGCGTCTGGCGGTATCTGAGTGCTGGGATGCAAAAATCATCAAAAATCAGTGGTTTCATCTGATCAGCTTTCACAGCGGATATAAATAGGGAGTCCCGATCCGGAGAACGTCCCGGAGAATGTTATTCGCTCTTCCGAAAACCGAAAACCGTTTTGGCCATTTTCGCCAAAAAAATGGTCCGGGTACCTCCGAAGACGGAAAGCCGAAGGCCGAATCCCGAAAGCTTGGCCCGGCCCGGCGGGAGGGGCAGGGGGCCGAAGACCGAAAACCG